TTCAGTGAATAATGGGCACCTAGTATGGGCGAGACCTAACACGCAAAGTGCACTTGTCAGGTTCGTGGCTCACACCTGTAATCCTAGCTAGCCAGGAAGCAGAGATCAAGAGGATCAAGGTTCGAAGACAGACCAGGCAAACAGTTCACAAGAACCTATCTTGAAAATACACAAAAAAGGGCTGGTGCAATGGCTCAAATGGTAGAGAGCCTACCTAATAAGTGTGAGATCCTGAGTTCAAACTCCAATATCACAAAAAAAACATACGCTTATTTGTCAGTGGTCCCAACTTTACAAAACAGAAGCACTTTTACCTGGCCTGAAATTCCCAACTTCCTTCCTTTATTCAGTCCAACGTCTTCAAGAAGATTGCCGGCACCATGGGCGACTCCACCAAAAAAGATTAAAGTGTTCCCTCGAGGTCCCGAACAGTGCTTGGTGGGGGTCCAGACCCTGGTAAGCCAGTCCGTGCACGTTATCTTTGGGTGTAAAATCCACAGGCGTGACGTCTTTAGGTGCAAAGGTCACATTATCAGGCAAGTAGTCATCGTCTTCATCCTGTTTCCGATGTGTAAAAGTGGGATTAAGGTGAGTGACATATGACACACTCTTAAAATACCGTGATTAATCCCAAAACAATTACCCAGCTGCCCTGACGCGGCTACCGATATCTGATGACATCCAAGGAGACCAACGCAAACAGGTTCTGTTTGAGAGTATGAACAGGCTGGGGTGTCGCCCAGTGGCAGAGCACTTACTTAGCATGCACGAGGCCCTGGGTTCAGTCCCCAGCACCACATATCCATATAGACATGGGATCTAGGGTGCTGGCACATTGCTGAGCAGGTTGTCTGGTGTAAGTTTTAGGGTATGGATATTTCACAGCAATGAGATCAGATTTCTAAAACTGATCATGACCCTAAAATTTCATGATCAACACACAACGGGTCCTACTGAAGTGATACCTCAGATCCTTCAGAGCCTCCAGGAGGCAATGCACAGCCATAGATTTTCACTCCAGGATCTATAAAAGAGGTGTCAAAGGCATTAGTCACGAGTGACTGGACTCGCTGACACTCTGCAGAGGCACATGGCCACACCTGTAAAGGTGCTGCTGTTCTAGGGTCAGCAGTGGGTCACCAGGGGATTGCTGTACCCAGCCCTGCTCCACCCACGCTGGCAAGGCTCCAGAAACGATTCTAAGCAGAATGTAACCATTGTATTCAGTGAGTAACCTCTGCTGCCCCAGTGCCACAGAGAACTCAGAGGAAGTCACACTGCCCTCCATGAGTTCAGGAGAAAGGACAATAAATAATAACACTAAACTGTGATGCAATTTTGACACAGTCACAAAACCTGAACAAACACGCATGGCTAGTGGGAGTGTGGTGTAGTCACTGCACGTTACCAAAAAAAAGAAAAAAAAAGCCTTAAAATACACATCACTTGACCCAGCAACTCTGCCTGTAGGAACACATAGCCATCAAAAGAATTGCTGTAACCAGGCATGGTGGGGCACTCCTGTAATCCCAGGACTTGGGAGGCTGAGGCAGGAGGATCCTGAGCTTAAGACCGGCCTGGGCTACACAGCAAGCTGCAAGTCAGCCTAGACTACACAGTAAGGCAATGTTCTTAAAAACCAAAGAAACAGCATGCTGTGAACTAATGACATCAGTAGACACACCAGGGGGACTGACTAGCAAGTGTGAGGCCCTGAGTTCAAGTCCCATTACCACAAAAAAAAAAAAAAAAGAAAGAAACTGACATACCAGGTTTCTGCCGGCGTGGCCTTCTCTTCACCCGAGGACCAACTCCTTGCCCTTCCTTCCAGCCCATTTTTCTTAGCAATTCAAAGCCCACAGACAACCTAGGACACGAAGGCATTGAAACTGATATTTCCAACATCAGCAACAGCAGGAAACCAGCCATTTCTGAGCTCCAGCCCAGCTCCTGTGCCTGCCTTGCCTGTGCTCATCCTCTTCCATGTTATAGCACCGTAACCCTACAGGGGTCTGGGCTTCAGGCACTACTGAGCTGAACGGTCTCAGACGTGCGCTCCCCCAGGCCCTGGGAATGGGTACGTAGGAACTCTGACTACTGCCTGTCAAACATGGGGCGAGGGAAACCAGGAAGGTCTGAGGCCAGAGCTCATGAGCCCAGGAACAAAATAAGGAGGCAAGAAGAAAGGGTAGAATGAGGTGGACAGGGGAGGGCCCACAAGACCTGTGAGGGAGGTGGGAGGGGAGTCATCCACTTCCTAATAGCCCTTCAGGCTCTGGGAACCCCAGCAGCTGGCCAATGGTTGGGGTACTAGAGCCCCCTATGCAGCAATAATGCATGACCCATTAGGCAAGATCCCCTCTTTTTTTTGACAGTACTGGAGTTTGAACTCAGGGCTTTGTATTTGCTAGGCAGGTGCTCTACCACTTGTGCCACTCCACCACCCCAGAAAACCCTCTCTTAACTCTATCCAGTTTACCAAGGCTTCACTTAGCCTGCAACCAAACTACCCTTAAGTGAGATGTCATGATGCTGCAGGCAGAGCACTGATGCCAAGAGCAGAACAGGGGAGAATTCTTCTCACTTTGCTGGCGTTATAAAGTCATCGAGCAGAGTAGCTCCAGGAAATAGGGGCCGTCGCAGCCACCAACTGCCGGGCCTTTTCTCGTATTCTGTCCTTGGTTTTGGAAGCAAAGTCATCTGTGGTAACAATCGCTTTGGGTGCTATCCCAAATTCACTGAGATCCTTCCAAAAAAACAAACAAACAAGATTACATTATTTGGAGAGTGATTAAGTATGATACACACATAGCTTTATTTCTTAAAAATAAATAAATAAATAAAACCATAAAACTACAAAATTTAGCTCAAGATCAGCAGAGTGACAGACTTCACAGATGGACCTGCACACCTCATCTTCATCCTGACATACAGTGACGGCTGTGACCGAGGACACAGCTTCAAGTGGCCGCTCAGTGAAGCCACAACAGCCTCTAACCAATCAAGGACAGGAAGCCAGGGCCTAGTTCTTCTGGACAGTATTTCAGAGGTGAGTGTGAAGAGGACAAAGCTTAGACTCACAGCCAGTGGGCACTTGTGAGTGCCACGTGCCAGGCCACAAGTCAGGTCCAGGGTTGGGGCAGGGTGAGCAGACAGGGTTCACCTCTTAGCGAAGCCAGTCACTTTGGTGTCATCCCCTTGCCAGGGTCTGCTCTAGGAGTGGGTATGTAAAACAACTTGCTCAAGCAACACCGCCTCTGATACACTGTAGGACTTATGTGAAAGGGGTTTTTGCTCTCAGAAAAAGAACCAAGAGAAAGTTCTCCTTCTACTGGATAATGTCACACTGGATGTGCCAGCTGGAACAACTGCAACCATCTTGCAACTTCAAGGAGAGGTGGTATAAGGACAAGGTGACATGTAGAAGACAAATGACAAGTGAGCATCCGAGACCCTGCTGCATCTAGAGTTCTGCTCCAAAACAGAGATCTGTTTCCTAACAGATTACACTGCTCCAAAAAAAAAAAAAAAAAAAAAAGAAGCCAGGCATGGTGGTACAGGCCTATAATCCAGCAGTCAAGTTCAAGGCCATGCAGGCTGCATAATCAGATCCCATCTTTTAAAATAGGAGGGCTAGTGCAGAGGCTCAAGTGGTAGAGTACCTGCTTAGCAAGCATAAAACCCTGAGTTCAAACTCCAGTACCACCTTAAAAAAAAAAAAGGACAACACAAAGTCAACTAGCCGGGCAGTTGTGGCTCACGCCTGTAATCCCAGATACTCAGGAGGCAGAGATCAGGAGGATCAAGGTTTGAAGCCAGCCCAGGCAAATAGGTAAATAGGGTAGGAACTGAGTTCAAACCTCAGCACTGAAAAAAAAAAATACCCATCACAAAAAGGTCTGGTTCAAGGTGTAGGCCCTGAGTTCAAGCCCCAGTACCACCAAAAAAAAAAAAAAAAAAAAATAGGAAAGAGGCCTCTCTTTCAACTTCCCTACAGCCCACAGCAAGCGCTAATCTTCCTCACGGATGAGTCCTGCCTGGGTTTCAAGGTTTACTTTCCCTCCAGCAGCTCCCTGTCCCGTCAAGTGCAGGCTCCACTCACAGAACTGTACTTTGGGGACACCTGGGGCTTTCAAGTCAATCTTCCCTTGTGCTCCTGACCCTACAAGTACTCTGATGAGGGGGAATCCATCCACTCATGGACACCTGAAAGAAAAAGCCTCAGAAACGAAAGGCAATCCCACGCCGGCTTTCCGTGCTACAAGCACCACACAGCCCCACCACCTGTCACTGGAGTTTCACACACCCACCTCCTCATCCATGAAATCCTCAGGACCAAGAACAGATTTGTCTGCCCTGCTCTGTCGTGAAGACACAAAGGTGGAGGGTGTCCATCCTAGAAAGAAGAGAGTTCAAAACTTTACAGTCCTGGAGAACATTTGGGTTTATAACTAAATAATTAAAGTAATGAGTAGGGAGTTGAGGCTCCCAGTAACACAGACTCTTGGCTACCGCTCATCATGGTGCAGATCCAGTCATGATTGCTCCACCCAGACTTCTCATCAGTCCCTACAGCCCGTCATCACAACTTAGCAGATATGCCAAGGTTCCCGTAGGAACTTGGAACCAAGACAAATAAACTACCTTGAAAGTTAAATTGTGAAAGATGCCAAGCATGGCTGTGCCCACCTGTAATCCCAGCTACTCAGGACATTAAGGCAGGAGGGTCACCTGAGCCCTGGAGTTCAAGGCCAGCCTAGGCAACACATCTATCTCGACAGACAAACAACAAGCAAACCATGAAAGAACACAAATAGACGTAAGCAGAAAGCAGCAAGGTTGTCCTTTGAGCATGGTGGTGCACACCTGTAACTCCACCACTCAGGAGGCCAATGCAGGAGGACAGAAAGTTTGAGACCAACCTGGGCTACATGAGGACACTATCTCAAAATAAAAAACAGAAACAGGGCTGGCAGAGTGCTCAAGCAGTAAGAGCTCCTGCCTGCCTACCAAGCGTGAGGCTCTGAGTTCAAACCCCAGTGTCATTAAAAAAAAAAAAATCGTAACAATAACAAAAAAATCAAGAAATAAAGGCAGGACCAATATGAGGCCAGCTACCTGCACTCACATATGAACACATCCGCCTGTGATCCCAACCACCTGGGAGGCTGAGATCAGTTCAAGCCCAGCCTGGGCAAATAGTTCACAGACCCCACCTCCAAACTAAACAGAGCAAAATGGACTGGAGGTGTGACTCAAGCAGCGGAGTGCCTGCTTGGGGTGCAAAGCCCTGAATTCAAACTCCAGTCCCACTAAGGAGAAATAGGAAAAAAGAAACATGGGCTGTGTGTAGCTCAGTGGTAGGGTGCCTGCTGAGCATGCAGGAGGATCTGGGTTCAAACCCAGCACCAAAACAAGACAGAAAAGAAACCCACAAATATTTCTGTGAACAACATGGAATCTGTTGTCCTGTGTAATGTGACAATTTAATTGTTTTTTCTCAAGAGCAGTCAGGCCACAGTCCCCAGTGTCAGGAGAGAGCAGCTGTTGGCTCCCCAGGCAGCTCTGACTCTAGCTGGCTCCTTAACCTCTCTCACCCTTGGTGGCTTCATCTGCAGAACACCTGTGACACCTGTCCTTCTCGCTCCCTAAGTTGTGTGGGGCAGTCAGTGATTAGCTGAATGAATCTGTGGGAGGGCACTTTGTGCATGACAAGGCACAATATGAAATGGAAGTCAGTGTCATGGATTCATCACCTGGTTAGAATGTATCCATTGTTTTTACAAACTTTTCTTGCAAGAAAACTTTCCCCCACAGGTTGCAATCAATGAACAATGTTTACATTAACTCTGGAAACATTTCAAGCTTCAAAGGACACAAAAAGACCACAGCACATTAGTAAGTTTTTTTAAAAAGCTGGGAGGGGTGAATCTTACCATGGCTCAGTCACTTGCTTTAGGAGTCTAACAGCTGTCAGTGGGAAAGTCCTACCTTCTTTTGAGCCGACGGTATTGAAGTACCCAGCAGAGAAACCGCCACTGAAGGCTCCATGGAATCGCTTATATCTGCCTTTTTCATCTCTGACGGTTTGATCCTGAAGAGGAATGGGTTTCTTTGGCCTTTCACCTGAAAAAAAAAAAATGTTTTCAAATGAAAAAGAGAGAGGGGGATAAGAAGTTAGAAAGAGTTTAGAGAAAATGTTATGCCTTTATCATCATAAACTGTTCACGTCTTGTAACTTCAGTTCTACCAATTTAAATTAAGCTGCTATTTCTAGACTTTACTGGTTGAAATAGTTTATGAAACAATATATTTTACCAAGCTTATGTTAGAAAAACGTTGTAGCAAAAATGTCCTAGTTTTCTCACTAAATTCCATTACAAAAAAGCAAAAGAAAGGGCTTGGCTGAGTGGCTCAAGTGGTAGAGCTCCTGCCTAGCAAGCATGAGGACCCAAGTTCAAACCCCAGTCCCACCACCACCAACAAAAAAAAGCAAAAGGGAACAAAACAATACTGGGGAGAAGGTTCACATACGTGGGAATGGAGTCTTTGGAAGAGAGGGAGTCAGGGTGCTGCATTGGCCCTGGAAAGCAGTGACTTATGATTTTTTTTGGGGGGGGTCCGGGGGAGCACTAGAATTTGAATTCAGGACCTGTGCCCATGCTATGCATGTGCTCTACCACTAAGCTACAACTCCAGCCCTGAGAACACTTCTGGGCATCTTGTAGACAGCATCCCCACATCCAGAATGGTCCCATTGGGACCCATTTTCTAAACCTTAAGAGCTTCCTTAACTTCTGTCACACTCCATACTTGGTGTTCTTTAAACTTAGTCCTTTTCCTACCTTGTTGAAAAGGGCGGGTTGTTACATCACTCTTTCAGTTTAGCCAAAAACTCTGAGGTTTGCCAGTGCTTGTGGCTCACACCTGTAATCCTGGCTACTCAGAGATCAGGAGGATCACGGTTCAAAGCCAGCCTGGAAAAATAGTTCTTGAGACCCTATCTCAAAAATACTCAACACAAAAAAAAGGGCTGGTGGAGTGGCTCAAGTACTAGAATGCCTACCTAGCAAGTGTGAGGCCCTGAGTTCAAACCCCAGTACTGCAAAAAAAAAAGAAAATCTGAGGCTTAAAGTTTCAGGTATGGCACAAAATTCCTGCCTAATTTTATCAATTCCAATTCAAATTTCTGAATTTATTTAGAGTGAAAAAAGCAAGCTCATTTCAATGGTTCAGAACAGAAAGCAGTTTCAGCAGTTAATTACCAGCATCAGGCTGAGGGTCACAGTGCTCTGTACTTTAAGGATAACTCCCTTTACTGGATTAAGCTGGACTTCGCTCAACTTAATCTCACTGTGCTTCAGTTTCCTCATTTATAACATTAATAGTAATAGCTATTGGAGTCATCATGCAAATTAAATAATGCCCGTTAAGTGCTTAGCAAGAAGAGACACAGGTCAGGCATGGTTGTGCACACCTGTAATTCCAGCCACTCCAGAGGTGGAGATAGGAGGATCACAGTTCTAGGCCAGACTGGGCAAAGTTAGAGAGACCATATCTCAAGAAAACAAGCCTAGCATGATGACTCACACCTGTGATCCTAGTCCTTGGGAGGCAGAGACAGGAGGACCCATCTGAGGCTGGACTGGGCAAAAGTGTGAGGCCTTATCAAAACAAATGAAAGGGGCTGGAGTAAAGCATCTGTCTAGCATGGGGTTCTATCCCCAGTACCGAAAAAAAAAAAAAAAACTAAAGCAAGCTAGGGGCGTGGTTCAAGTGGTATAGCATTTACCTAGAGAGTTCAATCCCCAATAATACCAAAAACAAAACAGGGGGCACAAAGAATAGTGCTAGCTGAGGCCTGTGAGAGGCTCAAGTAGTAAACAGCCTGCCTAGCAAGTCCAAGGCCCTGAGTTCAAACTCCAGTATAAACCAAGCCAGGTGCTACTTGGGAGGCTGAGATCAGGAGATAACGGTTCAAAGCCAGCCTGGGCAAATAGTTCATGGGACTCCAGCTCCAAAATAACCAGAGCAAACATGGACTAGAGGTGTGGTACATCTGCTTTGCAAGTGCAAAGCCCTGGGGTAGGGGCAGGGGGGAGAAATAACCCAAGCCTTGCATGCACATATGAATAATAAAACAATAAAAAAAAAAGATTTCAGTACCCCCAGTACAACAATAATATGATAATAAAATTATAAATAAATAAATAATAAAAAATAAATAAAAATATGTATTTATGAGAGATGTGAAAAAAAAAAGTGCAAAGCCCTAAGTTCAAACCCTAGTCCCACCAGAAAACAAAACAAAAAAATCCAGTACAAAAAAAAAAAGTCAACTGGTGGAGTGGCTCAAGTGGTACAGCACCTCCAAGGCCCTGAGTTCAAATCCCAGTACTACCCAAAAAAAAAAAACAGTACTAGCTGCTGTGAACACACTTTTGGATGTGTTCAAAAGTCCAAATACACCTGCGACCTCAATAATTAAGCCAGCTCCTGACACAAAGTAAAAGAGCATCCCACTTCCAAGTCCTAACTACAAGGACTGAAGTCTTTAGGTCATTCCTGGAATGTGACCCACAGCAGGGCACTCAAGAGCTATTTCTGAAGACCAGGAGATCAAGTTCAAGTCCTCCCACTCTACTACTTGTTATTTTTGTGATCCTGGGAAAACTTCTCTCTCTAAGGCTAAACCTCCAGAGCTGTAAGATTAGGGTAAAAAGGGAGCACATCTATGTACGGTAGTAACGATAATTAAATGCCACTGTAGACAGTTCAGCATGGTGGCTGGCTGTAGCAACACTCAGTTAACACCACCCACAATGTCTTTTTTACTTTAAAGAACTGAATTGCTGCCGGCACCAGTGGCTTACACCTGTAATCCTAGCTACTTGGGAGGCAGAGATCAGGAGGATCATAGTTTGAGGCCAGCCAGGACAACAAAAGCAAGATCATACCTCAAAAATACCCAACACACACACACACAAAGTTTGGCAGAGTGACTAAAGCAGTAGAGCACCTGTCTAGCAAGTGTGAGCCCCCAAGTTCAAACCCCAGTGCAGCAAATAAGAGAACTGAGTTACAACCTGGGTTCTCTAACCCTGATTTCCACCATTTCTTAGAAATGCAGTACCCACTCCTGAGTGCCTGCAGGCCTGCTGGCTGAGGCAGAGTTCTCGAGGGTCCGTTGTGCGATGTCTCTGTAGGCCGGACGACGTGCAGCAGCATCGCTGGCCTAGATGCTGTAGGAGTGTTCCCCACCCCCATCCCTGCACTTCTCCCACACATCTGATAACCAAAGATGTCAGCAGACACTGTCCATTATCCACACAGAGGCTAGAGTGAGAGCAGGCTGGCCCTGCCAGTGCACCAGAGCTGGAAGGAGATACAAGGCCTGCAGACAACTGTGGGAAGGTGGCAGTGACAACGAGGGTCAACCAGTGTGGCCAGCCAGGCCCTTGGGGCTCCCCAGGAGAGGCGCCATTTCAACCACAGGGCTGGGAAAACTCCAGGGAGGAGGAGACCATTCTAGCCAGTAATTACTGCCGCTAATAATAATTCCTATCTTATCAGGGTATGATAGGTAAGATTGCATATCATACCCTGCCCAGGACACTTATTAAGCACCTGCCCTGAGGTCCACATTTAATAAGCGCAAAGATGAACCGCATCTCAACTCCATCTCCAGGCCAGGTGTGGCACCCACTTGGACTGCCCTGGAGCCCTGGGTCTAGACCCTGGTACAGCAGGAGGCCTGCATGGAAGGCCCATGCTTCTGACAATGTGAAGGACCACAACTCAGACACCCCCAGGAAGGAGTAGAACTTCCATAGCTGTGGATAAAGACTGACTTCCAACAGACACGTTAACTCCCATCAGCAAGCAGGGTATAAAAAAGCAGTGCAGGCCTGGAAGTGTAGCTCAGTGGTACAGCACGTGCGTAACATGCACCAGACCCTGGATTCGGATTCAGTCCCCAACACCGCCAACCAAGAAGCAATTCCAGGTGCACTGAGAAAGTAGCACAGGTGTTGGATGGGAGTGGGGAAAGTGGAAGGTGGGACCGGAAGGTGGGCAGTGCTGAGGTCTCTGCGAGGCTCTGTGCCTGATGGAAGCCATGGTGGTTTCAAGTGTAAGAGTCACAGTGTCAGGGAGGAGAGTGGCCCTAAAAGTAATGTGTACAGGGTGAGATGCAGGTGCAAATTCTAGAACCAAGCACAGGTGTCTAGAAAAGACTAGGTAGGTAAGTACTGGGGCCTCTTCCTTCCCATCACTGTCAGTCACTGAGCTCCAATAAGCCCTTCTGTAGGAGCTTAGGTAAGGTTTAATTAAGGTAGAGAAGTGTCTCCTCTGCCAGTGTTGTCTACCCTGTCACTAAAACTCCAAAGCAGGAGTAAAGGTAATTATTGATCAAGTATGTTATCCTGGAAACTGTAGTCAGAGTGAATGTAAACTCTGAAGTGCTTAGAAAAAAATGAAGCAAGATTTGGGGGCTTAGATCCCTGGAAAGGAAGGCCCTATATTCAATCCAGGACAAAAATAAATGGAAGGAAGGAAGGAAGGAGGGAAGGGAAAGGGGGGAGGGGAGAGGGAGAGAGGAAGGAAAGAAGGAAGGAAGGAAGGGAGGAGGGAAGGAAGGAAGGAAGGGAAGGAGGGAAGGAATAAGGAAGGGAGGAAGGGAAAGAGGGAAAGAAGGAGGAAGGGAGGGAGAGAAGGAAGGGAGGAGGGAAGCAGGGAAGGAAGGGAGGAGGGAAGGAAGGAGGGAGGGAGGAAGGGAGGAAGGGAGGAAGGAAGTCAATGAATCAATCGTCAAAAACCTCAAGCTTGTCATGGTGCCACATGCCTTTAATCCCAGCCATGGTGAGGCAGGAGGATGCTCAATTCAACGCCAGCCTGGGCTATACAGCAAACCCTGTCTTGAATATTTAAAAAAAAAAATCCTAATACTGAGCAGTTAAAAGATGTTTCTAGGCCAGAAGAAATAAATAAATAAATGAAAGTCTACAAATGAAATGTCTTTTCCTCCCTTCAAAAAGAAAGGTTAGAGTCAGGTGTGGTGGTGTATACCTGTAATCTCAGCTACTTGGAAGACACAGGCAGGAGGCTGGTGAGTTCAGGGCCAGCCTGAGTGAACAGTTTATGAGATCCCCATCTCAACCAATAACTGGGCATGGTGGCATGCACAAGTCATCATAAAATAGGAGGCCCATGGTCCAGGCTGGCCTGCAAGGAGACAGACTCTTATCTCCACAATGACCAGAGCAAAAAGGGTGACAGAGTGGCTCAAGTGGTAGAGCGCCTGCCTAGCAAGCATGAGGCCCTGAGTTCAAGCCCCAGTACTGCCCTCCCCACTGCCAAAAAAAAACAAAGAAAGAAAGAAACACACACACACAACACCAAACTAAAGGGTTGGGAGTGTGACAAAGTGGTAGAGCGCCTGCCTAGCATACATGAGGCCATGGGTTCAATTGGGCGAGGGAGTGTTAGACCAGGATGCTTTATTTCAGACTTTTTTGTGTACCATCAAAACAGGAAGAATTAGAAAAATATCGGTCAAGTAGTTGATGACTTGATAACATACCACTTCACAAGGAAACAACTGTGAGAGCAGAAACAGAGACAACATAAAGAGACACTTGACATGGGTGTAGTGACCCATTCATGCAAGTGGAATGAATTTTAACCAGTCTCCACAGGATCCCTCTCACCTCCTCAGCTTATATAGGGCATTTCCTGCCCACACCACATATTTCAGCACCATCAAACCTTGGCATTTTTTTTTAAATACCAGCACAGGGTTTATTGTTCAGACAGGAGCCCTGTGGAGGGGCTCCTGCAAACCTTGGCATTTTTATCTCTAGTAGATTTAACTCAAATTAAGGATCTTTACTAAACTCTTTGAGCTCATAGGGTGATATGCTTGCCAATAAAACTAACATGATCTTAGCCATCCTAAAGGAATGATCTAGAATGAGATCATATCAGCAATAGCTCTGTCCTACCCACAGTCTGGGCCACCTGGAGAAGAGCTCTGACAATCCTGGGGCGGAAGGAACTTTCAAATGAGTTTATTGCAGCACTGGGGATGGTGAAACAAAAGTCTTAGAGGGAACCCAAGGACTGTCTTTAAATCATGTAAGGAGCACCTGGGAATAAAAGGAGTGTCAGTGGAAAGAGCCCAAAAGTACAACCAACCTGGCAGGAAGTAGTCAGGGAGGGAAGAGGGAAGAAATTCTTACCCACAGGAGGTAAGCAGGCCCAAGGACTCCCCCATGCTTCTGTCTTTCCCATCAACCCTTGTCAAACACCCAAAACATACTTTGCTGGACAAATCAAGTCATTAAGTGGAACGAGAACGCTTTTGCCCATCTTGCCTTTGCTCCCACATTCCACCAGCAAGTCTGGTCAGCTCTGCTTTCTAAGTAGACCCTATTTTGGGGCTGGCGGTAGAGCGCCTGCTTAGCAAGCATAAGGCCCTGAGTCCAAATCCCAGGACTACCAAAAAAGAAATACAAGTATACCCCACCCAGACCAGTCCTTACCACCACAGCTAACTCTCCAAGCCATCATCCTCTGACCAGTTTTTGGCTAATCTCCCAACCAGACCATACTCAAAACTGAAGCGAGAGAAATACTAAAAATACACATCTGCTGGGTGCTGGTAGCTTGCACCTGTAATCCTAGCTACTTTGGAGGTTGAGATCAGGAGGATAAAGGTTCTAGGCCAGACCTGAGCAAATAGTTATCAAGATCCCCAACTCCAAAATAACCAGAGCAAAATGGACTGGAAGTGTGGCTCAAGAGGTAGAGCGCCTACTTTTCAAGAGTGAAGCCCTGAGTTCAAACCCCAGTCCCCTGCTGACAGAATGGCTCAAGCAGTAAGAGTGCCTGCCTAGCAGGTGTGAGGCCCTGAGTTCAAACCCCAGTGCTGCCAAAAAAAAAAAAAAAAAGAAACCCCAGTCCCACCAAAAAAAAAAAAATATATATATACATTTATCATAAATGTAGATACATATACCCCTCCCGTGTAACACACCCTCCCCCAATGACTCTGCTATTCTTAGTATGAGATCCATTCTCCAGCCAGGCATGGTGGTTCACCTCTGTAATCCCAGATCTCGGCAGGCTGAGGCAGGAGGATCGCTAGTTCGAAGCCAGCCTGGCTACTTAGCCAGCTCCTTTCTAAAAAAAAAAAAAAAAAAAAAATCCAACCCTGCCTGCCCTCTGACGTCGATCTTCCCACAGCTGCCTTCGTCCTCGATTTCAGCACAATGCCTGACCATTCCCCTCACCCGGGCCATCTGGGCACCTCCCATCCCTCGGGGTTGCTGTCCCCCAGAACCTGAGCGCCGGGACAGCGCAGGGCGCGCCTCCCTTGTGGTGCTCCAGCGCCAGCCCCAACTTGTGCGTTCGCGCCCAGAATCATGGACCTCCGAGATGATTTCTCCAGAAATCCTCACCTTCTTCCAGAGGCTCCAGGCCCGTCCCATAGCTGACCAAGTCCTCTTCGCTGTCACTGCCCAACGCCGCCATCCCGCTCGCTTCCGGGCCCCTCCCCCTCGCTACGGCGGCCAACGTGGGCCAAAAGCCTTCGCGCGTTCGCGTCCTCGGGCCGAAAGCCTTCGTTCATTTCCGTCCTCGGGCCAACATTCTTCGTGCGTTCCCTTCAGCGGGCCGAAAGTCTTCGTGCGGTCTCGTCCGCGGGCCGAAAGCCTTCGTTCATTTCCGTCATCGGGCCAACATTCTTCGTGCGTTCCCTTCCGCGGGCCGAAAGCCTTCGTGCGTTCCAGTCCGCGGGCCGAAAGCCTTCGTGCGTTCCTATCTGCGGGCCGAAAGGAGGCTGCAGGGCTAAGCCGGCGGGCTTGGCCACCCAGAGCAGCGCTGTTTAGTCTGGTCCGGTGGAAGGCGGACCCAGGCAGGAGTTGCCTTGGGGGATTTGGCAGCCTCCACGTCCCGTCCGAACTCTGAGATATGCCTGTCTATCAGGAGGACACGCCTAGAGGGAACTGGAGGTCACCCTACTGTCCCTGTTCTGTTCAGCCCCACCCCACCCTCCAAGAAAGTATCTGTGCTCCCAGGTCCCTCCCCGACACGCACTGTGTTTATCACTCCTGTATTTGCAGAAGTGGAGCCCCCTTCCAGAGTTCTGGAGGGATTCACAGTCCCTGGGAACCTTATGCAGGGAGCTGGGGACAACATTCGATGTGAGAGAGAGAGAGGATGCGCTCCTCTCCGCTCCCACCCCCCACCCCGCCCCAGGAACAACCTGACCCATCCTGACTCATCTCCCCACCTTCTTCAGGTCTCTGCTCAGAGGTCACTTTATCAGTGAAAGCCCTCTCTGACCTACTTATAAAGCAATCCTGCCCGGCGCCATGGCTCACACCTGCAATCCGAGCAACTCAGGAGGCAGAGACCAGGGGGATTGTGGTTGAAAGCCAACCTGGGCAAATAGTTCTCCAGATCTATCTCCAAAAAAAAAAATCACAAAAAAGGGCTGGTGGAGTGACTCAAGGTGAAGGCCCTGAGTTCAAACCCCAGCACTGCAAAAAAAAAAAAAAAAAAATCCACCAATCCTGCCACACATAGTGGCATACACCTGAAATCCTAGCACCCAGAAGGCTCTTTGAGGTGTGGGTGTTGGGGGAGGCAGGGATCATGGACAATTAAGCAGTGAAACCCAGTCTCAAAAAAAAAAAAAAATTAAAAGCAGTCTCTTGGACTGGAGTTTGAAGCCCAGTGGTCAGATCTTGCCTAGTTTGCAGAAGGCCATGGAGGGAGAGGTGGTATTGAGGCTTGAACTCAGGGCTCAGGTCTTCGTGCTTTCGAGGCCAGCACTGTACCACTTGAGCCACACCTCCAGCCCCCTCATTCTGTATTTTTTAAAGCAGTCTCCCTTCGATCTTTGGTGACCATCATTCTAAGGCCGACTTCTGTCTACAGCCATACCAGCCTGAATGCATCTAAGGTCAACATTGTTTTTGTTTTGTGGTATTGAGGTTTGAACTCAGGGCCTTCACCTTGAGCCAACCCACCAGCTGTTTTTGTGATGGGTATTTCAAGATAGGGTCTCTTTCTCTCTCTCTCTCTCTCTCTTTCCTTTTTCTTTCTTTCTCTCTCTCTTTTTTTTTTTTTCTTTGTTTAGGGTCTTTCAAACTATTTGATTGGGCTGGCTTGGAACTGTGGTCCTCCTTATCTCTGTCTGCTGAGTAGCTAGGATTACTGGCCAGTGATATCAACCTTTTTTTTCTTCTTTTATCAATTGTTTTTTGCAGATCAACTTTTTTTTCAAAATTTTTCATCTTTTTTTTTAATTGTTGTAGTGGGGGTACATTGTGACATTTACAAAAGTGGCTACAATGTATCATAGTTGAATTCAACCACTCCATCATTCCACTTTCTCCTCCCTCCCCCAGATTCCTGGGAAATCCTGGGAACTATTTTATACTCCACATATGAGTGAGCTCATGTGGCCCTTGGCTTTCTGTGCCTGGCTAATTTCACGTAACATAATAATCTCTAGGTTTATCTGCGTTCTTCCAAATGGCAAGACTTCATTCTTTCTTATAGCTCAGTGGTACCTCATTGTGCATTCATACTGGCGTTCTTTATCCATTCATTAGTTAATGGACAATTGGGTGGTTTCCATTTCTTGTGAATAGTGCTGTGATGAAGATACTTTTTTTTTTTGTTTGGCTATACGGGAGTTTGAACTCAGGGCCTCACACTTGCTAGACAGGTGCTCTATCACTCGAGTCACTCCACCAGCCCTGTTTTTAAATTTTTTGAGGGATCTCCACACTGTGCTCCATAACCGCTGTACTAATTTACATTCCCACCAACAGCTCGAGGGTTCCCTTCTCCCCACATCCTCAGGCCAACTCTCATCTTTACTCTTTTTGATAACAGCCATTCGAATAGGTGCGAGGTGATATTGCACTGTGGTTTCGGATTGCACTTGTCTGATAATTGGTGACGCTGGGCATTTTCTTCAGGTACTGGTTGGCTGTTCTATGTCTTCTTTGGAAAACTGTCTATTTAAGTCTCTTGTCCCTGTTTTGTTTGAGACAAAGTCTCACTGTGTAGCCTCAAACTTTCCATCCTCCTACCTCCACCTCCGGAGGGCTGGGATTACAGGTGTGTGCCACCGTGTTCAGTTTCTTGCTTATTTTTCACTTAGGTTTTGTGTGATTTTGCTATGAGATTTTGGAGTTTCTTGTATGTTTGGAGTTCCTGGATATTAACCCCTTGTCAGATGTATAATAGTTTACTCATATTTTCTCCCGTCTGGTGGTTTCTTCTTTACTCTGTTACTTCCCTTACTGTGCAGCAGCTATTTAGTTTGGTGTAATCCCATTTGTCTAGTTTTGCTTTTGTTTCTTGTGCTTTTAAAGTCTTGTAAAAAAGAAAATCTTTGCCCATCCCAATGTCCTGAAGCTCTAAATAAATATAAATAAAGAATGAATAAGCAAACTGGTTAAATTAGTCCTGGGGAGCTGGGGCTGTATCTCAGTGGTGGAGTATTTGCCTAGCATATGCTTGGCCTGGGTTCCATCCACAGAACCATGTAAAACAAACAAACAAATAAACAGGATTTTTTTTTTTTTGGCAGGGTGGGGGTGGGGGAAGCCCAGTCTTTGAAACATGTCCCAAAGCTGGATGTCATGGTACGCCCTACATTCACAGCTTCTCGGGAGGGTGAAGAAGGGGGATTGCTTGAGCCCAGGAGTTGGAGGCCAGCCTGGGCAGCACAGTTACCAGTCTCAAAAATAAACAAATTAACTAGTTAAATAAAACCATGGCTCCAAAATTGTTTGACAAGTCTGGGCTCTCTGCCCTTCCCCTTGAATCTTGGCTCTGCCACTCCTTGTCCAAAAGAACCCAGGAACTGTGAGGAGAGAACGTTTTCCATATGAAAGCCTTGAGAAAACTGTGATTTCTACTTTGGGTTTCTTCACATGCTCAGTGTGGAGCCCAACCTCCACGCTGTGAGGAAGCCCAGGCCACAGGAGATGAGGCCGTGAGAAACCAGGACCTTGCACATGCTAGACAAGCACCCTGCACTGAGCTACACAGCCAGCCCCACTCGATTGCAGCTGTGGAAATCACCGATTTTAAGGGTCACTAGCTAAGCAATATATTATCAGTCTCTCCCTAGCTTTGCTACAGAAAGCCCCTCTGACTTTGGGGGTGTGGTGGAGATTGTAGCCTAAGGTTTTGCAGGAACTTGGAAACAGTCCTTGTCTGGTTCAAACTAGGTGAAGTCACTGACCCTCTCCCCAGGCCAGTGAAAGTGTCCAAGAGTAGCCTTTCAACAGGAATGGGCCAAAGCTTTAAGGGCAGGTCACACTAACACTATTTCTTGAACGCCCTTCCTCTGAAGAGCCAAGGAGTTTGATTATGCACGCTCAGAACATCAATTACTTTTTTTTCTTTTCCTCCCCCTACTTTCAATCAATCACCTTTCTCCACACTTTAGGCCACCCTGCTTCTTTCTCCCATAAATCTTTTCCTACAGGAGGCAAATCTGACTGACTCTCTTGTCTCCACCTTTAACCACCTCATGAATAAACCCTTTATTTTTTGCAAAACTTGTCACGTTGGTGATTGGCCAAAGGAGCCTGGTTTGGTAACAGAGAGGCCTTGTATGCCAGCTCATGACCCAGTTGAGGTCCCAGTTCATGATTAGCATAACAATAGCCAGATATGTGAGTAGAAAAGATTTCAAAGTGACTCCAGTTCCAGCCACCATGTGAGCAGCTGTAGAGAGATTCCCCAGCAAGACCATCCCCAGTTCTGTCACTTCCTTGGAACCATGAGAGACAAGAATAAAATGGTTGTTGTAGTTTTAAGCCATTAAGATTTGCGGTAATTCGTTGATAGTAATAAGTAGGTGTGATAACCTACAAAATATGGCTGAGCCTGATGGGTTAGGTTTGTAATCCCAGCACTCAGGAGGCTGAAACAGGAGGGCAGAAGCCAGCCTGGGCTACATAGCAAAACTCTATCTCAAAACAACAACAAAATACTTTTATGAAGCATTAAAAAAAAAAATGCTGATGGCCGGGCACCAGTGGTGCATGCCTGTAATCCCAGCTACTCATGAGTCAGAGATCAGGAGGATTGAGGTTTGAAGCCAGCCTGGACAAAGAGTTCACAAGACCCTATCTTGAAAAAACCATCAAAAAATAGGGCTGGTGGAGTGGCTCAAGCTGAGTTCAAGCCCCAGTACTGGAAAAAAAAAAAAAAAAAAAAAAAAAAGCTGATAGGGAAAAAATATAAAGAAAACCTAAATAAATAAATAAAAAGCCAACAAGCAAAAATACTGATGAGGAATGAACTCCCAAAGATGTTGATAAATGAGCAAAACAGACAGGCAGAACACACAAGACTCCCCACTTCGTTAAAGGGAAACACAGTAGCCAAGTTTATTGTGTCTGTTACGTCCACAATACAGACACACTACAGGTACACTCCGTCGCCACGAAGCCCCCGCTAATCAAAGGAAATCAGGGTGGGGGGGTGCATTCACAGCATCATACCATTTGAAGTTTTG